ATTGAGTAAATAAGATTGGCCTCCTTCATGTGCATGAGACTTATTTAATCATTTGAAGACCTGACCAGAGCAAAAAGACTAAGTAAGACAACTTCTCCCACTTAACTCCTTGTGATGGGACATTGGTCTTTTCCCGACTTTGGGCTCAAACCAAAATTTTGGCTTTTTAACTGGAACTTATTCCATTGGCTTTCCTGGGCCTCAGGCCTTCAGACTTGTTCTAGAACAACACCATTGGTTTTCCTAAGTCTCTAGTTTACTAACTGCTGATCTTGAGACTTTTCAAACCCATAATTACATTTGTCAATTCCTTATAATAAATCTCTTTTGGTTCTGTTTCTCTGGAGAACCAACTAATACACAAGCCTAGTTGCTTTTGTTGTTGTTGTTACTGCCAGGGGCATTTTACCACTACTGTACATCTTTAGTCCTTTTTAAATTTTTTTGTTTTGAGATAGGGTCTCACTAAATTACTGATGCTGGTCTTGAACTTGTGATCCTCCTGTCTCAGCCTCCCGAGTTGCTGGGATTACAGGTATGTACCACCACACCTGGCCATAAGCCTAGTCTTTTATGGCCTTGCTTTCTGATTTCCAAACCTGTCATCGCTTCCATGTTACTAGCTTTGTGATCTATTCTGATATGATCATCTTCACCAAAAGCTAAGCAAAAGGAGAGGGACTTAGATTTTCATGAACTTGGCAGCTGTTTGGGAAACATTTCCCTCTAGGGCAAGACACCACTCTGCATTCTTTCTTTTCTTTTATTTATTTATTTATTTAAAGAGAAAGAGAGAGAGAGAGAGAGAGAGAGAGAGAGAATTTTAATATTTATTTTTTAGTTATTGGTGGACCTAACATCTTTGTTTATATGTGGTGCTGAGGATCGAACCTGGGCCGCACGCATCCCAGGTGAGCGCGCTACCGCTTGAGCCACATCCCCAGCCCACTTCCTTTTCTTTTAATATTTTTATTAGTTGTTGTTGGACCTTTATTTTATTTATTTACATGCAGTGCTGAGGATCGAACCCAGTACACCACACATGCTAGGCAAGTGCTCTACCACTGAGCCACAACCCCAGCCCACCACTCTCTGCAATCTTATTGGGTTTCTTTCCTCCTAAGTCTTCTCTTTATGTGTTCCACAGGCTTTGAAAGCATTTGTGCCTGTGTTTTAGTTACTTTCTGTCACTGTAATAGATACCTGAGATAATCAACTTACAAAGAGGGAAAAGGGCCAGGTGTGGTGGTGCATGCCTGTGGACTGAGGAGGCTAAGGCAGGAGGATCACAAGTTCAAGGGCCTCACTAAGTTGCTGAGACTGTCTTTGAACTTGCGAATCCTCCTGCCTCAGCCTCCTGAGCCGCTGGGATTACAGGTACGTGCCATCAGCCTGGCTAGAATTTTTTTTTTCTTTATTTTTAAATTGTTGATGGACCTTTATTTATTTGTATGTGGTGCCGAGAATTGAACCCAGTGACTCATGCATGCTAGGCAAGCGCTCTACCCCTGAGCCACAACCCCAGCCCCCCTGGCTAGAATTTTCATTTTGAAAAGAGGTCCTTGCTTTTGAAAACACTGGGAACCACTGGAGTGAATGATCTCTGGAGCCATGTTTTGCTATAGTTTATAAAAAGAGGACTGGAGCTTCAGCCTGGAGCCTGTGTAAGAACTCGTTTGTAGAGCAGGTAGCACCCATGCTGGTGAAATCTCCAGAGCTGACAGAGTTCCTGTCACTGTGCTTGTCTACATGCTCAAGGGGTTTGGTTCATGTCTTCCCAACATCTGTTATATAATCTGTTGTCTCTCCCTGTAAACCCTACTTTGAAACAGGATGCAGATACCTTAGCTTTTCCTTTAGCTTAAGGAAATTTAATGTTTTTATTTTTTTTAAGTAACTATTTTTTTAACTTGTTGATGGACCTTTATTTAATTTATTTATTTATATGTGGTGCTGAGAATTGAACCCAGTGCCTCACACATGCCAGGCAAGTGCACTACCTCTGAGCCACAACCCCAGCCCTGATGTTATTTCATTTTAAAAGGTTGTTACCATTACTAACATCAGAAAATCAAATGAACGAATAAAAATTTCTTGTTTTAGAATTTTATTAAAGGTAAGAGGTTTTCCTGATCTTCATTGAAATTTAAATGAGGACATCTGTTTTCTGGTAGTGGCTAGAACTAAGTGGTGTCAAAAGGTTCATCCAACTTAATGTTTAATTTTTAGTGGGAATTCATGTATTTCCTTTATTTTATTTCTCTTTATTTAAAGGATATAATTTTTAGTTGTAGGTGGACACAATATCTTTATTTTATTTTTATGTGGTACTGAGGATTGAACCCAGTGCCTCATGTATGCCAGGCCAGCTCTTTACCACTGAGTCACAATTCCAGCCTGTCTTTTATTTATTTTTGTTCTTTTTATTTATTTTTTTTGTGTGGTGTTGGGGACTGAACACCAGGGCACTCCCCACTGAGTTACATCCCCAGTCCTTTTTAAGTTTTAGTTTTGAGACCAGAACTCACCCAATTGCCAAGGCTGGCTTTGAACTTGATGATCTTTTGTCCTCAACCCCCTACCCCTCAGTCATTGGGATTACAGGAATGTACCACTCTGCCCAGCCTTATTACTTTAATTCTGGGGAATTATTTACTTTTTCTTCTCTTTTTCTCTATTACAGTTGGACTGTGAAGATAGTTACTAGTAGGCAATTGGATTAATTTAGTTACAGGAGAGCAGAAACTCCAGGTTATTGTCTTCCATCTCTTTGCTCTTTGCTGCTGCTGCTGCTTTTTTTTTTTTTTTTG